GGCGCTCCGACTGTATCACGGGTGGCGGGGCCGGGAGCCCACCTGTCGCCCACGCGCTCGGAACGGGAACGGGAATGCAACGAGGCTGACCGGCCCGCGGTGATGGGGACTCAGGGCTCCACGGGAAGGGCTCTTCGACCGTGCACGCCCCGCTGTTTTCTCCTGCCTCTGTGGACCCTCACGTCGCCTTCCAGCAGCCCCCGCAATTGGCAGGCAGTCATCGACCTTATTTGCCAGGACTCTGTTTGCAAAGGGGGTGGGATTGACGGGGTGTGATAGGACTACAGACCAATAGGCAGCCTTTCACGAGGGATCCTGAAGCCCACTCGGGGAAGTGATAGCTCAGGCGCTTCCTTGGAATGATCCTGTTCCCCGCCCCACCTCCCTGGGGCACCTTTGGCCTGAAGCGATCTGCTGATAAACCCGCGCAGATAGGCAGATGGCTCTGAGAATGACCAAAGGTCCCGCCGGAATTCATTGTGCCAAGTTCTTGGTGAATCGGAAGTGGCTTTCTTGAAAGATGTTCCTTCCATCCCTTCACCCCTACAAAACAAAGAAATGCCAGGACCCCAGAACCACGGGATTAAAGCCCCAACCCGAGTCCTCTGACCCAGTGACCCAGTGTCTCCGGCAGGTTACCTGATCACCTCATACCTGGGCAGTGGCCTGTAGGGAGCCGGGGGCGCACCCTGGCAGAGGTGGAAGGAGGTGAGCTGCCCTAGGTAGGATAGTCACCCCTTTCATCTTTAGCTGGGAAGGGACTGGAGCCCAAGCCCCACTCCAAAGGCAGTTTGCAAACACAACCCCACCCCCATCCTTTCTCTGCATTAGGTGCCCCAAAGGTTCAATTATGTCCGTATGGAAATTACTGCTTAGTCATTTCTCTGAGGGAAAGTGTATCAAATACAAGTCAAAGTCCCCATTCGTTGAGTTCAACCTGCAGGCTGAGCCTGACTTAACTGGTCACATACACAGTGAACTGTCAGCTAAGAGATATCTTTGAAGACTAGAGTTATATTAAAAATAACACCGTAGGAACCAACATTTCCCCTCCAAAAAAACCTTTTCTCCCCCAACAATTTATGAGGATTTTCAAGCATACAACCAAGTTGACCGCCTACCACCTAGATTCTACTGTGGATGTTTTACTATATTTGCTTTTGTGACACACCTGTCCACCTATTTTGACCTGGCTGCTGACCTGAAGCAATTAGTGATATTTGGCTTTCCTGGAGCAATATTTCCGTTTTAGCTCAGGGAGTTGGCAGTGTGGTGGTTGGAGGTAGTGGTAATTATCTCTAACTTCCGGTTGAAGACCTACTGTGTGCAGAGCACTGCTAGGTGCTGAGGAAATGAAGAGGCTGAAGGCTCAGGCTGACCAGAAGGGGCTTGATTTTTTGTTTTGTTTTTAAGAGATAGAAGGTAAGTGGCAATTTGTGGTAGCAAATGCCAGGTAATAAGATGACAGCAATAACATTCATTGCATTCTTTATGGGTACTGAGCACTATTTATTAAAAGCTCTGCAAAAATAAATAAATAAATAAATCTATATTAATAAAAGGGTAATATGCTAAGTAGACCGGGAGACTTTCCAGATGTCCTTCCGGACAAAGCCATGGTGGCGGGGCCGAGGCAGAGGCAGTTAGGGGTGATCAGGCCAGGAGGGGAGAGCAGTTGGGGGCGAGCAGGCCGACAGTGTGAGGGCAGTTGGGGGTGATCAGGCCAGCAGGGGGGAGGCAGTGGGGGTAAGCAGGCTGGCAGGGAGGGGCAGTTGGGATCAAGCAGGCCAGCAAGGGGGGAGCAGTTCGGGGTGAGAAGGCCAGCATCTCCCTAGAGGCCCGGTGCACAAAATTCTTGCATGGTGGGGAGGGGTGGCGTCCCCTCAGCCCAGCCTGTACCCTCTCCAATCTGGGATCGTGAGAGGGATGTACGACTGCCAGTTTAGGCCCGATCCCTATTTATTTATTTTATTTATTTATTTATTTCTGCAGAGCTGCTCTGTTTGGCTGCCATGGGTCTGGCCACATGGCCCTGTGGGATGAGGCCTAAACTGGCAGTCAGACATCCCCCGAGGGGTCCCAGATTGGAGAGGGTGCAAGCCAGGCTAAGGAACACCCCCCTCTCGTGCACAAATTTTGTGCACCGGGCCACTATTTTAGTAAATAAAATAAAAGCTCTTCACCTGTATTATATCATTTAATTCTCAGAACCACATAAGTAGGTCACGATTTCTTTTTGCCTTTTACAGATCATAAAACTGAGGCACAGAGGTTAGTTGACTGTTGGTGGTGCTGGAAAGAGATGTAGCCAGGACCCAAATTCCAACAGTCTGGGTCTGAGGTGGCTCTGGGCACTCTTAGTCAGTGTAGATGCCACAGGGATAGTGGACCCTCAGGCCTGACCAGGGAGGAGCAAAGGGGTCACTGGGGGTTGCCGCAGTTCTTCCAGGGGTCCCAGCTCAGGCACCTGGACTCAGGTGCCAGTTTTCAAATGGCTCCAGAGTGCTGGTATTCTGACTTCCCATATGTTTGACCTGGCGCCAGTGCCCTAGGAGAAGATGGAGGTTCTGAGAGAGCTCCCCTAGGGTGCGTGTGCTCCACTGAGCTAGTCAGACTCCCTCATGTCACCTCCTCCACTTTCTGTCCCACTATTTCCCAAGCTTGGCTCCTGTCCCTTCTGCTTCCTTTCTTTCTGTTCCTTATTCTCCTCTCACTTCCTTTCTAACTTGTCATTTTTCTTGGTGTTTGTAAGACACTTTGTTCCCAAAGAGCCTGTTTGCCGATGGCAGATGCTCCTGTGTTCAGACACGGCCCATCTCATGTTGACATTGCAGTCACCAGCCTTCCGTCGGGCCCTCGCTCCCCTGGCATTCACAGGAGCAGCCTGGCCCTGCTCAGGGTGCCCAGACTCTGTCTCCTGGTGGCTCCAGTTTCCAAACCAGACTGGCTGCGTCCTCACCGCCCGGCTCTTCCCTCCGTCCTAGCCCTTGGGCAGGCTTTAATCTTGGATGTGGGAGAGCTCCTCACAGCCATTCCCTCTGCCGCCCTCATCCAGCTGCTCTGTTTGGCTGCCATGGGTCTGGCCACATGGCCCTGCTATGGAGGGAGGCTCATTCCTACCCGAATCCAGGCTCCAGGAGTTATGCCCCAGGGTCAGCAGCACAGACATTCCCCAGGGTGGGGGGCATGGCCAGTGCAGAGTGCAGTGGTTGCCTCGCCCACCCTCTGCCAAGAAGAAAGGAGAGAAAAAGGAATAGGAAAGGAGAAAGGCAGGAGAGGGATGGGGAAGAGAGGAAGTGGTCACCCAAGGAGGGTGAAAATAGGACTCACACACCCCTGCCACACAGCCGCAGGGCTCCTGCAGGACCACGCCAGGCTCTGGCTAGGGTGCCAGGCCCAGGTGGTGACCCCCACCAAACCCCTAAAGGAAGGTCCCAATGGGACCAGCACAAGGGAGGGGACCCTCCCACCGTGGGGCAGAGGCTTCCTGGGGTGGCAGCAGGACATTGTCTGGAATTCAACTAAATCTGTGACTTTTCATTGATTCTTTTTTTAAAAAAACATGTTTTTATTGACTTCAGAGAGAGGGAGGGAGAGAGAGATAGAAACATCAGTGATAAGAGAGAATCATTGATCCGCTGCCTCCTGCACACCCCCTGCTGGGGATTAAGCCCGCAACCCAGGCATGTGCCCTGACTGGGAATCACCATGGCCTCCTGATTCATAGGTCACTGCTCAACCACCGAGCCCCACTGGCTGGACTCATTGATTCTTTTGGCATGAAAGATCTGAAGGCAACATGACAGAATAATATTCATTTAATTTGGGGATGGAGAGATGTGGCGGTGACATTTTTTTTCTTTGTATTCTTTTGTATGTGTGAAAGAAGTCCCCACAATTAGAGGGACAGAAAGGCAAAGAACGAAAAAGGGCCCTAGACTGGAAGCCAGACTCTGCTTCTCATTTGTGGGGTGACCACTCACCCGCTGTCTGGACTGCATTGTGCCATCTGTGGTATGAGCCTAGAGCTGGCTGTGGACACGACACTGACACTGACCCTCACCGGTCACCTCCAGTTTTCCCGCAGCCCTTGCCGCCATGCCCAGCTCGGCGCTGTGGGCAGTGGACCTCTTCGGGAGGGTGTACACACTCTCCACAGCCGGGCAGTACTGGGAGCTCTGCAAGGACACCCAGCTGGAGTTCAAGCGGGTCAGCGCGGCCACACAGGGCTGCTGGGGCATCGCCTGCGACAACCAGGTCTATGTGTACGTGTGCGCCAGCGACGTCCCCATCCGCTGCCAGGAGGAGGCCTATGAGAACCAGGTGGGGCACGCGTGTTTGGGTTGCTGAGTTGGTTGGCTGGTTGGCTGGCTGGGAATAAAGGCCCCACTCACCAGACTTCAGACAGTTCTCATGTTCGGCTAAAGATCCAAGTTGTGTAGTGTCATGGGCCTTTGGGACCAGAACCCCTGTTGTGTCCTCACCAAGGCAGGCTGGTCAGGTTCACACAAGGGTGGGCTCCCAGTGGTTTCCAGGAACCCAGAACAGGCCATGCCCTCCACTGCTTGCCCCTGGGGGGCACCGTGTCCTGTGGCAGGTTCTCTGCCCTTTGGGGCTGTGATGATGTGCTGGCTGATCCCTGAGTTCCGGGCAGGCCCTCTGCTCACATCCCACCATGGAGATGAGCCCAAGTACCCTGCTGGCAAGGGCCTGGCCTCCCCAGGCAGCCGCAGGCCTAAAGCCCGTGCCTGCCTCCACCCTCAGCGCTGGAACCCCGTGGGTGGCTTCTGTGAGAAGCTCCTGCCGAGTGACCGCTGGCCGTGGAGCGACGTGAGTGGGCTCCAGCATCGGCCGCTGGATGGGGTGGCACTGCCCTCGCCGCACTGGGAATGGGAGTCCGACTGGTACGTGGATGAGAACTTTGGAGGGGAACCCACCGAGAAAGGGGTAGGTGAACTTGGTTCCTGGCGTGGCTCCACATGGGAAGGGAATGCTTTGGGCTTAGCCTGTTCCCTCAGTGCTGGTCCCAGTGTCCTGTGGCAGCTGGGTCGACCCCAGCCTTTGCCCTGCATGCACCCCACTTTCTGCACAGGATCAGTGGGGATCAGTGCTGTTCCTCCTTCTGCCTGCTCCCCCCTTCCTCAGTCCTATCACTTCCTTACCCCAGAGCCTTACAGAGCGCCCCCACCTTGTATTTCAGGGGTGGACATATGCCATGGACTTTCCTGCCACTTACACGAGGGACAAGAAGTGGAATTCTTACGTGAGGCGGCGGAGGTGGATCCGGTACAGGAGATACAAGTCCCGCGACACCTGGGCCAAGGTCGGAGCCTGCCTGTGGCCTGGGGGTGGGGCAGGGCCCACAGCAGTCCCGCTGCTGGGAGGATCACATGGACCCTCATTTCTGCCTTCCCGCCTGTGCACAGAGGGTGCCACCCCCACACTGGGACCTGGCCTTTGTCTCCTGGTAACACTGTGGCACTGTGTGTCCCTTCCTCTGGGAGATGGCCACATGAGGAGGCAGGCCAGATTGGCCTAGGACAGCAAAGAACCTGTCCTGACCCTGGTCTCCGGTTGCCCTGTCCCAGAATGAAGCTCCGTCTGTGCACGTCTTCCTCCCTTATTCCTGAACTAGAAGCCCCATGCACGAAATGCATGCACGGGTAGGGTCCTTAGGCCTGGCCGGCGATCAGGGCTGATCGGGTCCTTCTGGCTGCCAGCCTGGGCCTCCCTTCGTTCTTCTCCGCCCCCTGGTGGTCAGCATATGTCATAGCGAGCAATAGAACTCCCAGTCGAACTCCTGTGGGGACACTTTGCATATTAGATTGTTATAAATATAGACTAGAGGCCCAGTGCATGAAATTCATGCACAGGGAGGGAGGCGGGCAGTCCCTCAGTCTGGCCTGCACCCTCTCCAATCTGGGACCCCTCGGGGGATATCCGACTATCAGTTTAAACTGGCAGTCAGACATCCCCCTTGCAATACGGGACTGCTGGCTCCTAACCACTTGCCTGCCTGCCTGCCTTCCTGCCTGATCATCTCTAACCCCTCTGCCTGCCTGATCGTTCCTAACCCCTCTGCCTGCATGCCTGATCACCCCAACCCCTCTGCCTGCAAGCCTGATCACCCCTAACTGCCTCTGCCTGCTGACCTGATCGCCCCTACCTTGCGCCCCTGCCGGCCTGATCACCCCTAACTTTCTCCCCTGCTGGCCTGATCGCCCCTAACCACCTCTGCCTCACCCGGGCCTAAGCCGCAGTCTGGCCTCCCTCTGCGGGAGGCAACCTGGCCAATTGGAAAGGCGCTGCCCCCATCACCCTGCTGCTGCTGCCACTGCCGGCTGCCATGGCTGCCTGAGCCAGGGCCCTTGCAGCCATGCAGCTGCCTGAGCTGCGGCCCGCCTCTCCCACACGGCGCTGGCCCTAGGCCCTCACAGCTGCTGTGGCTTTGTCCGGATGGACATCAGGAAGATGTTCTGCTCTAATTAGCATATTACCCTTTTATTAGTATGGATGAGCCACTTTGGCTCTTGTATTGTTTTTGTGACCTAGACACGCCTCCCAGCTTAGGGACATGAGGCCTGGACTGGGTCCTACGTGGCCTTCGAATGAGGGGAAGGCCTCGAGCCCTCACCAGTCCTCTCTAGAGGGTCCGTGCTTTCAGGTGGACCCTTTGAGCTCCCGTTGGGCTGGGAGCAGCCCAGAGAACAAGGGCTTACACCGTGGGGCCACCTTCTGTGATCGGCCCCCTCTTGGTGGGGGATGGAGTCACAGCGTGCAGGTCACTGCAAAGCACAGAGCCAAGACCCTATGTGTGCAGCCGCCTTCCTTGCAGGAGCAGCAGTGACCACTCGGGGATGGCAGCCGGAGCCTGGTGGCTGGCAGAGGGAGGACAGGGTAGAGAGGACCCAGGGGCAGGAACCTGGTGTTCTGATGTGCCTGCTCTGTGAAGTCCGGCAGCTGTGCGCTGAGGTGGAGCATCAAGGCAGCGTGCTGAGGGCCTGTGGCACAGACTGGTTCAGGGCAGCTGTCTACCAGGAGGGGAACAGTGCCATCTGTCAGCCCACGTGCCCACAAGGTCTGACTGCCACGGCCTCCACCTGTTTCAGATCCCTTCGAAGGATGACCCCAAACAACTGCCCGACCCCTTCAACGACCTCTCTGTTGGGGGGTGGGAGATCACAGAGGAGCCCGTGGGCCACCTGTCCGTGTGGGCTGTGTCTCTGCAGGGAAAGGTAAGGCCTGTGGCCCCTGCGCCTTGAGCAGGAGTGGCTGAGGGGGTGGCCACAGTCAGGAGTGGACAGGAGATAAGTCGGCCTTCGTTGTCCTCCCAGAGGTGGAGGAAGGAGGGGGGCTGCCCCTGAGACCTCCTCGCCTCCTGTCCCCACAGCAGGTGGCTTTTATCAGGGTCCCCATAATTGCCCTTTCTGTGAATCCTGCTGTCCTGTTGATCCCTGGATTCTACTCCTCCCAGAAGCCTCTGACCTCCCACCCTACTCCTGCCCTGGCCTGTCCTCCTCTGAGCCCCCAAAGCACTGACCAGTGCCCACCCTGGGCTCAGATGCCATCAGTATAGTCTCCTCAGACAGACTGAGTTCCCTGCCAACTCCCTGTGGCACCTCCACACCAGTCTCTAGAAGTATTGCTGGTGGGTGGGCGAAGGGGGATGGGCAGGTGGGGAGGGGGTGGGTGGAAGGATAGGTGGATGGATGGATGGGTGGGTGGGTGGATGTTTGGATAGGAGAAGAGAGGAGACCCTTTTCTCAAGGAGTTTGTTAAGTAAACAAAGGAATAAAACCAACCTGACTATAGCAGCAACATAGGTGGCCCTGAGTGGGATGACCCAACACTTACTCATGACTATTCAGTCCTCCGTTCCACAGACTGACCAAAGTCCTCTGGTTGGCTTTGGGACAGTCACGGCAGGCTTTTATCAGGCTTACCTCTGGGGTCCTGTTTGGCCCTGGCTTCAGTCAACCATAGTGTTTCTGAGCCATGCTGCAGGACCTGGCCTGGGACAGAGCCCCCACCGAGGGGCCACGCCCACCTGGAAGCAAAGAGAAGGGAGAATGGGGCTCAAGAGCACTGTTTGTGCTGCCAGCTGTAAGCCAGTGCTGCCCTGCACTAGTCCTATGGTCTGTAAAGGCTGTGACCAGGACCCTGGACTAGCTGGGCTCCAGGAGAAGCTGGGAGATGGGGAGGGGTGGGAGAGGAGGCCATACCAGCAGGTAGCAGAGGGAGGCTGTCCAGGCCTAGTTCTGCAGTGCAGGCTGTAGGGCGCGGTGACAGGTTGGGAGGCCACGGTGCCCAATATGGAAACAGGTCCCAGGAGGGGGCCCCCCAGCCCTCCTAGACCACACAGCCATGTGCAGCCCCCTCCAGATGAAACGTGCCAGGCAGTGCGGACAGTATGATCAGGTGGCTCAGTCTTAAATATTTGATTATGCTCACTGTCCTCAGGTTAAAGAGAAAAATAAGTGATTTTTTTTTTATTGATTTCATAGAGAAGGAGGGAAAGGGATAGAGAGATACAAACATCAATGATGAGAGAGAAACATTGATCGGCTGCCTCTTGCACACCCCCCACCAGGGACCAAGTCCGAACCCCGGGCACGTGCCCTGATCAGAATCGAACCATGACCTCCTGCTTCATGTGTTGACACTCAACCATTCACCCACACTGGCCAGGCACCTTAGACATTCCTACGAAGGGGAGCGGTCAGCTTCCCCTAGACACAGGTGTTTTGAGAGCTTGTCACCACTAGAGTGTGCAGGACGCCCAAGCTGCGCTGAGTTCTCACTGGGCACATGGGTGAGTGAGGAGGGTGTTGTCCCCTAGGACAGTGGAAATCCAGGTGTGGCATTTTTAGCAGCCGGGAGAGATCAGCGCCCCTGGCACTCTGGGCCATGGTCTCCCAGGACTGCACCGATGCTTGGCCTGTGCGTGTGCTGACGCACATGCAGCCTAGCTTGGGAAGCTGGTTTTTTCACAGAGTCCTGGCCTGACCCCACTGGACCCTTCCTGTGGGTTTCTCTCACTCTCAGGTGTGGTACAGAGAGGACGTCAGCCACCCCAACCCAGAAGGCTCATCATGGTCTCACGTGGACACTCCGGGGGAGGTGGTCCAGATTAGCTGTGGGCCTCACGACCTCCTGTGGGTCACGCTCTGGGAGGGACAGGCCTTGGTTCGAGAAGGAATCAACAGGAACAACCCCAAAGGTGGGAGCCCTACACCCTCACAGGGAGGGGGGTGCCCGCTTTTCCCTGTGCGCTTGCTGATGGGGACCCTGTGCTTTCTTCTGGGGTCGAGTAGGAAGTTCCTGGTGCCTAGTGGAGCCTCCCACCTCTGAAAACGGCATCATGCACATCTCCGTGGGAGTGGGCGTGGTCTGGGCCGTCACCAAGGACCGGAAAGTAAGGCCGGGTCGAAGGGGGGCTGGGTCTCAGGACTCTGTTTCACATTGAGGGTGGTGTGTGTTTTGTTCTTTTGTCCTGAACCCTTGAGCAAATTAGCCAAGCACCCTGCACTCTCTGTCACGTCTGAGATGTCCGGCACCTGCAGAATCCTGCCTGCTCGGGCCCTGTACCAAGCGCGGCACAGCTGCATAGGCCGTAACATCTCCAGGAATCAGAAGCTGATTTTCTAAAACCCTCACCTCATTGGTTGCCTCCCCCTGCTCCTGTTCATGCTTATCATTTTTATTTATTATTTTTCCCCATTGATATTAGAGAGTGGAAGAGAGGGAGGAAAGAGAGAAACGTCAATAAGAGAGCGAAACATTGATGTGAGAGAGACACATTGATTGGTTGCCTCCCGCACGTGCCCCAACCAGGGCCAGGGACAAACCTGCAACTGAGGTACATGCCCTTGACCAGGAATCGAACCCGAGACCCTTCGGTGCCTGGGCCGAAGCTCTAACCACTTAACAAACCAGCCAGGGCTTGTCATTTTTATTTTATCAGAGGCAAGGCCAATAAAATACAGGCAGTCCTCAGGTTATGTCGGACTCGACGTATGTCGTTTCATGGTTACGTCGCCATCTCCCATTTACAGTATTTATTAAAAGTTCATTCATTTTGACGTCTGTACGTATGCGCTTTATGTTTTCTATTGTTTAGTGACCACAAGTAAAGGTCAGGAATTGTTCTCTTCTAAATTGTTTTACTGTTTCCCTTCATTACTGCCGTGTCTGTGCTCCCTGTGAGTGACGTAGGTGCTTATGTAGGTGGGTTCCGACTTACAGCGAAAATCGCGTTATGTCACCGTAGGAACTGATCTCTGACCTACTGTAAGCTGATTTCAGGTTGCTTACAAGTTCTCTAACCCCACCCACATCCATCCAGGGCATCCCCTACCATCCAGGGGGACGGGTCGCCCACACATCCGATCCCTCTCCAGTGAAGCTCCAGAGCCTCAGGCCACACGCCCCTGGGAAAGTGCAGATGGGCTAACCCCCAGGCCCCTGAGCACCCCACTCTCAGAGCAACAGATTAAATGAGCAGTGTGCTCAGTCTAAGACAAATATTTGATTATGTGTGAGCTAAGGTGGGGGTTGCAGAGGTCCATGGGATGGGGTGTCACTAGTCAGGCTCATAGGTCAGAGTCTGGATTTAAGATGGAGTATGTGCCCTTCCCTCCCTCAACCCCCTCCTGGCTCTCACTGCACCAAAAAGCCAACACCTGCTGCTACCTGCTGCCAACAGGTGCCACTAGTGTCTGAACCGGTGGGGAGAAGATTCTAGAACAGTGATGGCAAACCTTTTGAGCTCGGCGTGTCAGCATTTTGAAAAACCCTAACTTACCTCTGGTGCCGTGTCACATATAGAAATTTTTTGATATTTGCAACCATAGTAAAACAAAGACTTATACTTTTGATATTTATTTTATATATTTAAATGCCATTTAACAAAGAAAAATCAACCAAAAAAATGAGTTCGCGTGTCACCTCTGACACGCGTGTCATAGGTCTGCTGTCACTGTTCTAGAATGACTCAGGCAGCGTTGTCTCCTAGAGAAACAATGCCCTGAGCTGGAGAAGGGACAGGAAGCCACCAGGACAAGTGTGACGGGCAGGTGACCCTCAGCCCAGAGGGATGTGGGCAAGAGGCACGGGGTGAACGTTTCCTTCCTGAAGGAAGTGTTGTGCTCATTTTCGGCGTGAACCACAGGGTCAGGTTATTCCTGTTCTTCTTTCGCTTTAATTAAGAACAAAACACCCCACCTGTGTCAGTGGCATTCCAGGGAGGCGTTTATTTCTGACTTTCCCAGGTGTGGTTCCGCAGAGGTGTCAACTCTCACAACCCCCGTGGCACCAGCTGGATCGAGATGGTTGGAGAAATGACTATGGTGGACGTGGGGCTCAACGACCAGGTGTGCGCGTGGTTCCGAGCCTTGCTTCCTGGGGGTGGGTCTCAGAATGGGGGCTCCTGATGCTTCCTTCCCACATCTCTTCCTGGTGCCCCCATGGGTGGGGGGGCAGCACCTCCACACTCTCCCAGCCTTTGTCCCAGAGCCTCCGCCTGCCTTGGGTCACCACCACCCCCACAGGACCCCCAGAGCAGGGACAGTGAGCACAGATCTCGGGGAGAGACATGCATCCCAGATACGGGAGGACTTCGGTTGAGAAATATTTGGGGGAAATCAGACCACTTGGGAAGGATGGAGCCGATCTTCCCAACTTTCTAGATGCAGGGTCTCTTGAACGTCACCTGTGTAGTTTGCACAGCGGAGCCTCCTCCTCATACATAATGAGGTTTTGGCGATTTTTAAGACTCAACGTGTGAAGGTGACGTGTCCCCCCTTTTGCACTGTGATGGAAGCTCCTCCCAGGGGTGCTGGCTCTCCTCCCACCCGCCCCAGTGAGCTGTGTGCACAGCGGTCAGGGGCGAGGCAGGCGCCAGCAGGTGCACACAGGGATGGAGCATGAGGCCAGCCCACCTGGCAGAGGCCCGGAGCCCTCCCGGCAAGGCCTCCTGGGCCAAGGCTCTGCCAAGCCCGGCTGGGGCCCGTCAGGCACCCCAAGTCTAGGCTCAAAATGGTTGCTCCCTGGGTCCCTCCTGGGCCTTTCAGCTGCCCAGCACCCCTTCCTCAGAGACAGAGGGAAGGAGCGTCCTGGCCACCTTTCCCGTGGAAAATGAGGCCAGGATCAAGGAGGTTATTTTACTTAAAGACCAGGACCACCCTCTGTGTTCACTGGGAACAGCTTCCCTCCCACCAGAGACACAGTGAGGACATGGGTGGACTTTGTGTCCCAGCCCAGCGCCCACCAGCACCACCACCTCCTCTGGCCCCGGGTCTGCCTGAAGGTCGAGGAGCCGCACAGGCCCTGCTTCTCCTGAGCTTGGTGCCGAGCCCTCGCCCAACTTCCTGAATTTTACCTCTGCACCCGCCCACGGCCACACCATCCACCTCCCCCCCGCCCCAAGCACACGTGTACACACCCCCCACTGTATGTACAGACTCTCCCATCCTCCTCCCAAACCCCAACGGGAGGAGAGCCCCCCGGTCTGCCCGGCTTCCCACCCAGCAGCATCTCTGTTCCAGGTCTGGGGCATCGGCTACGAGGACCGGGCCGTGTACTTCCGGCAGGGCATCACCCCGAGCGAGCTCAGTGGGAAGATGTGGAAGGCCATTGTCGCCAGTCGTGTGTGTGACCGGTCACACTCCGGCAGCTCCTCCAGTCTCCTCAGGTGATCCCAGGGGCGTGGGGCATGGAGGAATCGGGGGGAAAGGGCTGCCGTGGCCTCGGTGGGAAGTGTCTGGAGGCTGCCTCCGCCCAGCCTCTCAACAGGACGCTGAGCCTCATCTCGGGCAGGAAAGACGGCAGCCTATGGGTCTCCCCTCCTGTGCCCGGTGTTGAGGCTGGTCCCGAGGGTGGGAGGTGACAGGGGAGCGAGGCTGGGATGCCTGTCCCTATTGGAGCCTCGGATTGTCCCTGAGCAGGACTGGCCTGTTGGTTCTGGCATCTCAAGGTCGGGGGGAAAGGGCCTCTTTGCAGGTGGATGCTCGGGGATGAGGATGGACGGTCTCTCCCCTCGGGAGCTGGGGCTTCAGCCCCCGACTCTTTGGGGGCTTGTTCCCCGGGTGTTTTCCAGGCCCCGCCCCAGAACATCTGTTTCTGTAGATACGGGCACCTGAGATTTTGTTTCTTGCTCCGGCCCCAGGTGTGCTCCTGCCTCAGTTCTGGGGCCGCGCACTGAGGTCCTTGGTTCTAGGGTGTGGGTGAGTCCCAGCTCTGCCCACCGGCGCTTAGAGTGCAGGCAGGTGATTTAGCATCGGCTCCGCTCCGCAGGGAGTGCCCACAGTGCTTACCTGCCTGTCGTGCGGCACATGGGACCTCACACGGTGCTCCCCAGCTCGCCAGGTTCCTGTCTGCACCTGGACCCTCCCACAGCCTGGTGGTCATTGCACCACCAGCTGAGAGGGCTGGGAGGTCAGCCAGGCAGGGTTTCCCCCCACTTACCGGAAGTTTCCATCTCAGCTGGTGGTTCTCACGCTGAGCAGCACATTGGAATCAGCTGAGAAGCTTCTGAAACTACTGATGCCAAAAATCTGCCCAACCTTGCAGTCGGCAGTGGCTTCTTAAATACAACAAAAGCACAAGAAACAAAAGGAAAGATAGATTGGACTTCATCAAAATAAAAAGTTTTATGCACCAAAGCACACTATCAAGAGAGTGAAAAGATAATTCAATGGGAGAAAATATTTGCAAAGCATATATTTGACAAGGGCCTAGTATCTAGAATACACATCAAGAAGTCTTACAGCATAACAAGGACAAACAACCCAATTTTAACATGTTAAGCACCAGGTCAGTCACCGGTGACTGACACTGTACTTTCCGTCCGGAAGACAAAACAGGCTGGGCGCTTAATGTGTTAAAAGGGCAATGACTTGAATGCATTTCTGCAGAGTAGATACGTGAATGATCGGCGAGCGCAGGGAAAGATGCTAGGTGTCATCAGTCATTGGGGAAATGCAAGTCAGGGCCCAGGTGAGATACCACTGCACACCCACCAGAACAGCTGTGATCCAAAAGAAAGACAGTAAAAGTGTTGAGATGTAAAGGAATTAGAACTCTGTACACAGCTGGCAGGAATTAAGCGTTGGGAAGCAGTCTGGCAGTTCCTCAGGAAGTTAAAGATAGAGTCACCTGGTGACCAAGCAGTTTCGCTCCTAGACAGGTACCTGAAAGAATTAAAAACAGGTGCTCACACAAAACATGTGTGCGAATGTTTGTAGAAGCAGGACTCACTACTGCCAGAAGGTGGAAACAACCCGAATGTCCATCATTGGGTGAATAGATAAGTAAGACGGGGTCTAGCCATAAAGTAGACCATCACTCAGCAATAAAAAGGAGTGAATACCCGCCTGGCTGGTGGTTCTCAGTGCTTAGAGTGTCGGCCCGAGCACCTAAGGCTCCAGGGTTCCATTCCCAGTCAAGAGCACATACCTGGGTTGCAGGTTCTATCCACAGCCCTGGTCAGGACATGTGAGGAAAGCAACCAATTGATGTGTCTTTCTCACATTGATGTTTCTCTCTGTTTCTCTTCCTCTTCCTTCCTCCCTTCCACTCTCTCTAAAAATCAATGGGAAAAATTTCCTCAGGCGAGGACTAACTAACTAACTAACTAAATAAAAAGGAATGGCCTGCCCAGTGTGGCTCAGTGGCTGAGTGTCGACCTATGAACCAGGAGGTCACGGTTTGATTCCTGATTGGGTCACATGCCTGGGTTGTGGGCTCATTCCCCAGTGTGGAGCATGCAGGAGGCAGCCGATCAATGATTTTCTCTCTCATCATTGATGTTTCTATCTCTCCCTTCCTCTCTGAAATCAATAAAAAT